TTTTATCGTGTTTCGTGTATTTTTATTCTCGTATCATGTTTTTGTGGTTCGGCGTACTTTTCTTGTCTTTTTGGTGTTGTTTAGGTCCACATTATTCTATCTTGGGAAGACGAGCCATTTCCGAGACATTTTCGAATCGTCCGAACCATATTCGAGCCACACAGGCCATTTCCGAGTCGTTCCGGGCATATTATTAATTGCATGGTGATATCAATTTGTGCATCTCAAGACGAGGAGAACGAGATTTGGAAAGCGTGGGTCAAAGTTTCAAGTCAATCAGATAAGTGTGCGCGAAGTTATGGCGAATCGAGCGTCAAGGGGCCATCGAACCATTCCCAGTGCCCGCGAAAATGACTTCGCGCCCGCGAATCCCTCCTAACCCGCGAGTTTCCAGCATGCTGCTCGCAGTGCCCGCGAATTCAATTCCGCGCCCGCGAAAAGCTTGCAACCCGCGAGTTCCAAGTGCGCTGCTGGCCCCTAGCCCGCGAATCCTCCGTCCGCGCCCGCGAATAGCTGCTAGCCCGCGAGTTCTTCTATGCGCACCCCAACTCGCGGATTCCGCATGCCCCGCGCGTGCGAAATCGCTGCTACCCGCGAGTGCCCCGTGCCCAAGCCACACTCGCGAGCTTCCTCCAGCCCGCGAAATTCCGCCTTTTGCTCGCGAGTTCCCCCTAACCTGTGAGTTTTCCCTATTAAATGTGTGTGTTTTAGTGTGTGTTTGTGGTGTAGCTATAAATAGACATCTTGCTTTATAATTTTGGAGAATTCTTCATTTTGCTAAATTTTCCTTTTTAGTTTTTTGCTCTCTTCTCTCTCTAGTTTTCTTTCTCTCTCTAAGGGCTCCAAGACCCTATTTTTAAGTGTAATATTTCTCCATCAAGATTACAACTTTTTGGCTTATTTCTTCTCGTGGATGCATTAGAGACGTGGAGACTTCGCTTAAGGTTCATGATTTCATTAGTCTTGCATGTCTTTACTTATTGAGTTATTCTAGGGTTAAGATATGCACATCCATGAGTCGATTATGCTATCATCCTCGTAAGCTAGGGATTATGTGATATTGTTATTGATTGCGTGAGCGAGAATTGATTGAGAGATTAATTGATCACGAGTGACTATTGCTTGGTTGCATGTTCCCGAACCTATGAGGGCCTTCTTTCCATCTCGAGTCTAGGAGTACCTTGTTATTTCTCTTTTTATTTTCCTTTTTTTTTCTTGCAATTTGAGGACTTGCTTGCGATATAACTTGAATCTTGCTCTCGTTTAGTTTAAAATTGCTCTCTTTAGTTCAATACAAACCCCAAATTGCGAGTAGAGTGTTTAGGATCTTTATTTTATTTTCTTGTGTGAGTCGATCGTTGCTTGAATCCGTGTCCGAATAGCCTTCATTTGAGAACGACCAGAGTCCGGGTAACTCGGTTACCAACTACCCAAAAATACTACAAACACACGTACAGGAGGTCCTGCATTTGGTTTTTAGCACCTCCGAGCTAGTGCATATACCCAGAAGGGAGAATAACCGAGCAGATATGTTGTCTAAAATAGCTTAGAACTTGGTTGTATGTAAGAACAACAACGTAACACTATTCCAGGTTGAAATTTTTCTTTGTTAGCTTGTCATTTTCTTTCCGCATGCCCTTCAGATTGGCCATGAGGTCCTCATAAGAGGGAGAAGAGCGACGCAATGAAGAACCAACGTGGATAAGAGTTGTAAAATAAAAAGAAGGTAAGAAGATATTTATGAACAACTATTAAAGAAGACCAAAAAGAAGGATGTACCAGGTAGCTGCATACTCAGCGCGACCTCTGTCGTTGGTCCCCCAACATGTTGCCTCCTCGGAGCATAAGCAACTGTTAAAGTCGTTCGAGCCGATCGTGTCCGTTTACGCTACAAAACTAATATTTAGATTTTTCCCGACTAGCCATAATTTTCAACTCCTTGAAGTTTCAAGTGCAGAACATTTTTCCAACACTAGTTATTTCCTCGACTCCCTCACACAACAATTTGAGACAATGATAGAAATAATTTGATCCATGTTCAGAAAGTTGCATCTGGAAGGGAAACTACAACTACAGAAATGATAAACAATACATAACACTTCCAAAAAAACAAAAGTAAACAACTAATTTCCAAAGGCATATCTAATCTGTAACAACTTACATTAAAAGTACATTTTAATGATTTGCTCCTTGTTCCTCAATATGAGCAGATGAGAGAACTATTATGGTTAACGAATCAGCACTCTCTTCGAATTTATCCAAAACCGGTTTTTACCCGCCTTTTCTACTTGAATTGATCTGGCTTCACCAACTTCGAACCACAAAGACTTACTTTTTTTTGGCTAGTCGGCTAATAGAGTCGAAACAAGCAGATCTTGGACGAAAACAGCTCGTCCAGCTGCCTGTTGCATTCTTTTTTCACGTTCTTCACGACTCAAAGAATAGAAACTGCAATTGAAGTGAGAAAAGATTATGAGGCAAGAACATCGGCTAGACACATAAATCCTCGAAGGCTCAGAATTAAGTAAATGATCCTTAGCAAGAAATTTAATACCTACCTTGATTTCCAAAAATGTTGAGATGACGTACTCTTTGCGGAACTTTCCTCTAAACTCGACAACAATGATTTCGACACGTCATCAAGTTCGGAAGCAGAGAAGCTCAAAATCAGAGAAGAGAGCAAATTATCAGCCACAGCTGATGATGATGATGACGTGGCAATAGTTGATCGATATCCATTGCCGCCAAGAAGAACCTGTAAATGGGCTTCTCTTAAATCCCTTCCCAGCAGAGATAGCGATTGATTGTTGGCAAAAGGAACCCTACGCAATCGGCTACGCCTCTGAAAGTGACCGGAAGTTAAAGATAAAAAATTCTATACCATATTCTACTATGATTATAAATGGAAATACAAGATTAACTGAGTTTTAACAAAAGGATATCTTCAATAAGTATCCATGTTGGACAGTGATATGGCTCAACATGTCCCCGGTGACTTTAGCAGAACAAATAGAACATACCTGCAAAACAATGGTGATATTTAGATACTAATAACTAACTGAGATCCTTTACAAGAGCGATTAGAATATGAGTGACTAATCGATTTTCCTTTTTCGAGTTAAAGGGAATCATAGGAGACTCGTCTAACATCTCAAATTATTTATTCTATTCTGTAGAAAAAATTTGTATACATTTTGCATCAACAAACAATTTAGTATTTCTACGTATATACACATAACGAAAGCCTAACTTTGGATGGATAAACTAACAATTAGTGTAAACTTAACGTATTGTTTGGTTCGAAGGAAACCGAGGGGAGGGGAAGCGAGGGGAGGGGAGGGGATCTTACATTTTTTTGCTGTTTGATTCACCGAGGGAAGGGGAAGGGAGGTTAAATTTGTCCCTCATTTTCTCTCCCCGGCGGAAAAATGGCACCACTCCAATTTTGGGGGAATTTGGAGGAGAAATAAAAAATTATGTCTAAGTGTACAAATTTGACTTTTTGAACTCATTATAATTACAACATTACCGCATATAAAAAAAAACTTAAAGAAGAGTATATTTGTCTATATAATTTTATTTTCCCTCCCCCTTCATCTTCTAACCAAACAAGGTTAATCATTTTTCATCACCTCCCCCTCCTACACAATCCCTCCAAACAAGGTAAAATTACTTTCCCTCCCTTCCTCTCCCCTCCCCTCCATTAAATTCCCTCCCCTCCCCTCCTTTGAACCAAACATAGAGGAATAGGGAAAAGAACAAGATATACGCTGAGCACAAATTCTCGTGTGAGGTGGCCTAATTGTTAGGTGGGTATATCAGTCATACCTTTTTAACAAAAATGAATACTTATGCTACGAGAACTCATATCATTAAATTATTATTTATGTTATTTTTTAAAATATGACATTTAAGTCTGAAAGTACGTATATTTGATGTATAAGTACTGTTGCCTGACCGTTAGATTGGCGTCATGAATAAGAACGGTTGCCTAACCGTTAGACTTGCGTCATAGCAACCTGATGCGAACCGAACTTTCGAGTGGAAATCAAATCGTATGGATGATGGCGGGAGTAGTTGCGTTAGTTAATTATTTGGATAGGATAATTATATTAGTTTCTTTTTAAATTTTAAATATGTTAGTTAGTTGTAGGTTTGAATATTTAAATATGAATGTTGTTTTTGTGATA